TGTCGACGTACACTCACAGACTAGGAACTGAAGGTTGTTTCCTCACAATAGAGATTGTATTTACGTGTTCAGTCTTAAAATATTACATTCAGACACCTTTTTTCCGTAAACAGGATTATATACGAAATGTCTTTGTATAACAGCTGACATTTTGTTTTCTTTCACCTGTCCTATCTTGCCCTCCCCCCCCCCCCTTTTCTGTCATCTGATTCTCTCTTGTTCAGCTGGTGTGCACCTCGCATTTCTCCCCTTTCTCTCACTCTTTCTCTCATATTTGCAAGACGAGCTGTGGCATGTCAGGAATTCATATCAGCCTGCGTGCACCTTGCAGCACATCAGATACAGAGGGAGAGAAATTAAAGGAATGAGGGAAGAGAGATGCAGAAACAAGGTCAGAGAAAACAGGTATACCTGCGGCACAGGCAGAATCTTGCAGCCTATGTTCATCCTGTTAGTTGCACTTTTGGCGTCAGCTCATATCTCAGCAAATGCCTTGGCATTTATGAACCTCACAGATAAAGCCTGCTCTGTATACCTGCAGCCCTTTTTTAGAAAAAAAACGCCGGGAGTATGCTCAGCTCTCACACACACAACTCGACATCACCCCCTGCAGGTTTGATAGGACCTATTTCCTGAAACGAACCGCTACCAGCTGATGTGTTGAGTAGTAGACAGCATTGATTCACTCTATGCACTGGTCAACACTGATAGGGGCTCAAGCAGTGTGCGCACTGTCAATCAGGCAGGATTTCCTGTCAGGGATAATGGAGGCTTGCTTCTGCTGACATCCAGGACTTATATAGCCTAGATCAAACCTCATAGAGTGAATGTAGTGCTCCAGGATTGCTTTGTCTCAGTTATATTTATGTTTTATGTTGATTTCAGCTGTGAAAGGTTGCACTTTGAGTGCTGATCCAACATCTGCTCTTCCCTTTGCTGTTCACATACTTGACTCTTCAAAGGGTTTCCTTTCCATACCACTCCCCTCTTTCATTTCTAATTTCCCTGTCTTTTTCTTCAGGCATTTTCAGTCCTCTTTTTTAACTCTCTCTCTTTCCTGTAATGAACCCCATGCGGAGCAGCGTTTGTGTAATTAAAATGCACACCATTCATCTGGGAGGAAGGGAGTCTCCTTAATCTGCGTCAACCCACATTTTAGCCTCTGAGGATTCGTCTGCTGCGCCACACACACACACTTACCAGTTCCACTCGCTATCTCTCTTGCCACTCCCACCGCCATTCCTCATTGTTTGAGCCCAGCTGTGCCCTGCCATGTCACATTTAGTGTTGTGGACATGGAAGCTAACAGAATGCTGGTGTTTCTTCTTTGCGCATTAGCTGTAAATGAAGAGGACGCACTGTGTGTAATTGATGGTGGTTTGTTAGATGTGGACGTGGCCTATTTTAGGTAGGCAGGCAGGAGTAGATCCGTCACACTCTCACAACTGCCTGCTTCTCAGGAACTTGGGTCTGTGAAGGTTTTGCATAGCTTTGTTCTTATAACACATCATACTGAAGTTTCATCCCCTCCTACATGCATTTCCCAAAAATACATGATCAAGAAAAGTTATCTCCAAAAGTTCTTGCCTCTTCTCATAAAGGATACGTATGATTTAGGAGCCTCATTTTTATGTTTGAGCATTTGGTTGTCTCTTTTGAGTTCCTCATTTTACTGTAGTTCCATTTTTGGTCACTGGGGAGCTGTGCTTTGCACTAGAGTTTGTGTATCACGGTATGTTCTCTTGGCAGAGGAGGATGACACACCTCTGTGTGTTTGTGTAGTTTGTGGATGGGCCAGAGAATGCCTTGCAGCACACAGTGTTCAGTGAACAAAAGGCAACCCCGAAGCTGCTAGTTTCCGTATTTTATGTTTAGCCTTTATCCTCTAAATTACAGGACTGTATTCCATCCACTTTGTTGAAGGAAATGAGCTGTTGGTTTCAATTAACTTGCCTCATTTTGATGCAAGGCCTCTTTCACAATAAAGTTAGGCAGTGGTGTGTTTGAAATATGGATACAAACAGACTATATTTCATTTAGCTAGGAGGTTAGCGTTTTAACGTAACTCTGTTTTAGAGCAGCCGTGCTTCATAAGTAGGGTTAAAGCCAGTTCAGCTCGAGAGCTAAGTTGATTAACATCTGTATACCATCTTGTGTAAACCATCTGGACTAACATCTGTTGACTGAGGTCTCCACCAGCTGCAGTAAAACTTTGTTCATCAGCAGCAGAAATGTACTGAGGCCTTCAGATACGCGTACATATTATTTATGCAGTATTTCAGAGCCGTGCTTAAAAAATCACTTTATCACTGGACTGTGAGCAATAAAAATCTACTGCATCATGGGGACATTGTTTTAGCTTTAAACTTGTTTTAACCTTGTTTTAAACACGGAAAGTGTTAAAATAAGTATGTAATCTTGTTGACTTCCCCTTCTGCTGGACCAGAAGCAGACCAGAGACTGTAGCGTTGAGTGCACCTGTCCTTTGGATGGTTTGAAACTTCTTTGAATGGCAGGTCTCATCACATGCCATACTTGGTATGAACTCGAACGAATGACAGTTGTTTTGTTTCTGTCTCTTTACTTCTGCGGGTGTGTTTTTTGCTACTATCAAGTAAGAGATGAGGACACACACACACACACACACGCACACACCCTGAGCTGGCTGCTGTAGTGTAAACATTGGACTGTCCTGTATCCATAATGAAGCTCTGTGGAATGTGCTCGGGCTTCTGTGTCCTGATTGGAGTCTCTGCAGTGAAACCTAGTCAAATGGCATGTTAGCCATGCTAATCATGCTAACCATGCATGTTGGCTAAGTGGATCTGCTATTGATCAGGTTCTGCTTCTGCTGTGTCTCCTCTCAGTCTGGGAAATGTTGCAGCAAGTTACTGGACTGTACTCTACAGTTAGTTCAGTACTGATGATACTCTGGGATACCTGGAGTTCCTTTTCAGGTTAAAAATGTATATTTGTTGTTAGTCTTATATTTCACTGGAAACTTGATTATCTGTATCTGTATTGTACTTAAAGACTTCATGTAATGTAACATATTACAGTAACATACGGTAAAAAGTGAGTGATCAGTAACCTAAGCAGAGTGTGCACTGACAGGAGGGGCTGATTCTACCTTTATATACCTTTGTGAAACCACTCCCTTTGTTGGGCTTGCCTCTGCTGATAAGATCTCTACTTGCTCTCAACTTTCCTCATTTCACAACGGCTTGTGTTTACTTAATTTGCTGTAACGTGCTCAGACTGCGAAAGTTGGACAGTTCCGTCCTCAGAGACTGTATTCAGTGGGTCGTCATTTACGTGAGTAGTATCTCTTACTTGAGCTTTCAGGCAGCTATGTTGGAGCTGGCATAGCAGTAGGGGTGAACCTAACCCGTTACCATTAATTTGAACCCCCCCTTCTCCTCTCTGCCCTGACCCTCTGCTCTCAGTTGCACCCCCACCCTCCCCCCTGTGTCTCTTGCTCTCTTATTGCTGATGGTAGAGTTAAGAAAGGCAGTTCCTGCCTGGCAGACAGTCTGTTTGGGTTGCCCTCTTCCTCCTCCACTTATTCTTTCCCTGTATTATCTCCTCTTCCCTTCCCTGGGTGTAACGTCTTGTCTTGTTCTAAGGTACGTCTCATCTCCATACATATGCATTACATATGCTTTGGTTTTGTCTTTCGTGCCCCACGTCTTTAGTTCAGGATGCGGCTTTGCTGTGGTTGGTGTTTGGTACATCTTAGCAATACTGGCAATATTTCAGTACTTATGTGTGGAATGTAAAAAACTCAGTGAAATTTGAATAATTTTCAGTTTTTCTGCGATTATAAAGAAAACTTGATGGAGTTGTGCTGTACATTTAACTATGGTTTCTTCAGTTTTGCTTTATTTGCTTTTAGAATTTAACATTAGTTAATGAACTTCATATTGGCAATTGTCCTGAACCGCCTCAAATATATTGGTATTTAATGGAAAATGTTTCATTAATTGTAAAACAGTAATTTTGTACTGATAGTTTGTTCATATACGACATTTCATGTCAGAGCAAGTTTGTTAAATTGAGGGTTTTAATTTTTTTTTAGGACATGTGAAATTCTGCAAGAGAAATTAAACACTGCTGGTGTGAGTGAGCGCGCTAAAATAAGCCCAAGTATTCAGTAATACAGTCTGCTCTCTTCATTAAATCCTCTATAATGTTATGTGTCCTTCTTCCTACGGGTTAGGACTGCTAAATTAGTAGTTGTTTTCTTGGCCCGTGTTCCTCTCAAATTACTAAATGACCCCTTCATGCAGAGGTGGTAGCTGTTGCCGTGTACATGGTAAATATGAGCATGTATACCTGGTTGCAGACTTGACAGCGGCTCTTGGATTTAAGAGTCAAGGCTCCAGGCAGACGAGGGTCAATGAGTAACCAAAGGAGTGGCCATGATTCAACTTTTACAACTCCACAGAGCACAAGTGTTTGACCGATTGTGAAAGACACTGTAATTATTTGATCCTGTGTTTACACAAATGGAACTTGGTAGTTGCAAGAAATTTTGCCGTGCTACGTACTAGATATGCAGTGGTGTATTCTAACATTGGAAGGGATGGGTATTTACATAATTTAATATTTCAATGATGATTAATATTATGATATAGTATATATTTTCTAGACATTTCACTGAGAAACCAATTATTGAAATCAGATGAGAGTGTCTATTTTAGGCTAATGCATTAAATTAGATACCTGAAAATGAAGTTTCTTGATCCCACTGATGCAAAAATCCTGTAAATTTAATGTTGCCCTGAAGCCCTCTGCTTACGGATTTGCAACATTGTTGGCCAAATACAACGCGAGATATTAAATGGAGAGTCACCTTATTAGTAATGGTAGAGGGAAATCTACATCATTTGACAAATCACTGTTGTCTCATGGTAGACAATGCCCTCCCACCCCCACCCTATCTGAGCATATAATTAGTTTCAGAGAGATGATAAAATCTTTGCTTTGTATTTCTGCAGATGCTTTGTTGGCGGACCTTGAGTCCACAACATCCCACATTGCCAAGCATCCTCTCTTCCTGTCTGACGAGACCGCCTACTCCTTCCCTGTGGGGAGTCAGACCCAGCCAGACATCTGCTCTCCATCCCAAGTCCCATCCACTCCCTCTGAGCAGACCCTAAACGGACTGGATGAAACAGAGGTAAATGCATACAATACACGTTACTGTATATGCCCATGGCAAGTGACATATAAAAAAATTATTTAATTTACTCATGAAAGTGTCCATTTGCGAATATAGTCTTCCGAAAACTCTATAGTGACTTCACCTTTTCTCCTCAGTCCTTCAGCTCAGCTCAGAGAAGTCCCTGGTCTAGAGATAGCAGCAGTCCAACACAACCCATCGGTGGAGAGGACCACGTTTACAGGTAGGCCTTGGGAGAATGTTATTTGGATCAACAGTTTATAAACAGGGAACTCTATGGGAATATAGATAACTTTGCATTATGGTTGTGAGAAGTCTCTGCCATATTTTGCCAGTTAAAGTAGGCCAATAAAAGTGGGAACATAATGTCTCTATTTGACACACACACACACACACACACACAAAACATTAGATTAGAAATAGCCTTTTTGACTTTTGACCTTATCTGTGAGTCAGAGACACTGTCCAAATGACGCCAGTGTCAAATTATAGCAACATTGTCAGATGATAAATATTGGTTCTTCTCTCTACTCTGTACAGTTTCCCTAATAAGCAGAAGAGTAGTGAGTCATCAGCTGTTGCCATGAACTCATCCTTGGGCAGCAACCTGTCTGAGCTGGACCGCCTGCTGTTGGAGCTCAACGCTGTCCAGCAGAGCACCCCTGCCTTCCCCACAGAAGGTACAGAAAGAGATTACATTACAGTTTATAAAATGATCTCTCTCTCCTTGGCTGAAGAATTCAGATGTCATTATCTAAATTGGGCACTGCTGTTTTTGTGGTGTTGCACAGAGATTTCACCTCTCTCCACTGCAAAATACAATGTTTTGGAGTTTGCTATATATTAAAACTGTGCACTGTGGATCCATGAAGGACATTAATTCAGCTTTTCTTTCTGTAATAGAAGAAGCAGCTCCTCCGCTGCCTGCCAGCAGCGTCATCCACCATATCCATGAGAATGGAGTTGCAGGCAAGGCTCCTCCACCTGCATTGGAGAAGCCCAAACGCAGTGCTGCAGCTCGAGGAGTAGGAGATGTACGACCAAGTGTAGAGAGACTTCTGGATGAGCTGGAAAGTTCTGTGCCCGCACCCATGTAAGCGACAACCGATTAAAGAGGTGGTATTTCATCCCTGTGACGACATAGGGATGAAAGCTAAATGCGCGTCATAGAACGCTCGCCAAGCGGCTAGTCCAACACGCCCTCAAAAACACCAGTGGAAAAACACTGAGCTGCAGCACACACCTCCTCTCACTTCCAAACACTGGGTACCCTCCAGACACTCAGTGGACATAAAGTTGTTACTATGATGTAGAGAAAGAGCTCAGTTAAAACTTCATGGATGAAAGATACTTTTGTTACAGATTAATAACTCACCACTCTGAAACTCTTTCATGTTGCCAAGCTGGTCGGCAACATGTACAGCTGAAACAAAGCCGTGTTTACTGGCTTTTCATTGGCCTGCCATTCTCTGCTTCTGATTGGCTAGTAGTCCTTAACTATGAACTCCGCATGTGCAACTCCCAACAAAGATCATTTACAAACAAGATGTATCACTCCACAGCTAAAATGAACACACATGTTGAAAAGAGGAGCTGCAGCAATCTGCAGTATGACAAAAAAATATGGTGTTCTGGTACAACCCCTAAATAGGATTTTGAACCTGAAAATGAGCATAATACCACCTCTTTAAAGCAACACAGAAATTTCCTGAATGCAGTTAGGAAACATGTTTCTGTAATACCACAAACCCTAAACTGATAAAAGACAGGATTTCAGATGTAAGAGGTTTCTGTAATGAGGCCCCAGGAATGTTCTACCCATACATTTTGTTGACTTTGTTCTTTTCTTCTTTAGTCCTACACCGTTGGTTGTGTCAGACAAACAAACAGATGGACAAGAGGAAACACCAGCACAGCAGCAGGCCAGGATGTCTGCCTCCTCTGCCACACGAGAGCTGGATGAGCTAATGGCCTCCCTGTCTGACTTCAAAGTCCAAAGCAATGTGAGTATGGTTCACCAGTGGGTAGATTTTGGGCCATTGGGTTTGCCCACTTTGTACTGTTTAGGGCTGTGCTGCAGATGTTTAGGGGTTTGCACGACTCTTAAATTAACTGCATAGATCATCAAACTGATTTTATTCAGTGTCTTTATCATATTAGTGGTTTTGTAATGTCAACTGGATTGCTTTGAAAACAACATTGCCCAATAGAAATATTAAAGTTTTCCTTGAACAGATGTTCTGCAGTTTTACTGTGTACATTGATTTTGCTTACAATCATAAACTTTTGCAAGTTGCAGTGGCACAAATGTAGTGGCTGCTTCTTTTATTTACTTCAACTGAAGATTTTTTAACCTGCCTTTTATTTTGGACCTGCTTTTGTTTATTTGAACAAAATATTTTCGATACAACCAGTAATTGACAACCAGCTTTTAGCTTAATTCTTGTTCAATTTTTGTTTTGTTTTGTTGCTTTGACTTTGTCAAAGAAGTGTTAATTCTAGTCATTTCTGAGATTTGATGCGTCTGTCCTCTGCATGTCCGAGGGCAACAATCAAGAGTTAATTTTTTCAAATAAACTTTTTTTCATTTTGAATTAATTTTTTGCAGTATTTTAGGAAGGATTACTTTAAGATATTTGAGTGAACTCTACCTCTTCTTTGCTTTCTGTGTGAGACAGCTTTCTGTTCATTCCCTTAATTCTAAATGTCTTTCTCTTTTCTCTACTGCTGTGTATGTCTTGTCTTTGTTTGGACATTGCAATCATAACATTATTGCACCGGATTCAGTCTGGCTCTCAGTTGTCTGTGAATCAGGAGGAGGCAGATTCTTCATTGGTAGCTGGTTCACCAGTTGTCCAAGCAGTAACGGCCTCATCCATAAATCCTAATATTGGTTCAGTGGATACTCTTCTATCTTGTAGTTACACTACTCCCTCCTGTACCCCTCTTCCCTTGGAACTACATATTGATGAAGATGGTTGTTCAGCCCCTACATTGTCAGCTGGTCCCACTGTGGTAACTGCATCGTCCAAGAGTCTTCAGTACTCCCAGATCCATCAGATAGATGACGGTGGCAGTGTCACCTCTGAGATCTCTCATGTGGAAAGCCTCAGTATCTCTAGTACCGTGAAACCTCCCAGTCAATCTGAAGTCAGTAGCCCTACACATATGTCAGTCATTAAAGTTTCTGCTAGTAAAGTCTCAAGTCCACTTGGAAAGAGTTCTAGTCCAGTACCCACTGCCAGGAGCTTCAGTCCAGTAATTGTTTCCAAGAGCCCTAGTCCTGTTACTGTTTCTATAAACCCAAGTCCCATTTTTAGAGCCCAGAGTCCTAGTCCACCTGATCTTAAATGCGCCAATCTGAGTCAACCTTACAAGAGTCCAAGCCCAATCCCTAAAAGCTACAGTCCAGTTCCTATAAGTCCTAGTCCAGAAGCTGCTGCAAAGAATGCTACAGTTCTAAGGCTTTCAAGTCCAGTTCCAAAAAGCGCAAGTCCACTGACCGTCTCCAAATATCCCTAGTCCAGTAACCATCCCAAAGAGTGCTAGTCCAGAAGCTGTTCCCAAGAGTACTAGTCCAGTGTCAATTCCAAAACTTTCAAGTCCAGTTCCAAAGATTGCAAGTCCTGTGACAGTCCCTAATATCTCTAGTATAGCAAGTGTGCCCAAGAGTTCTAGTCCTATAACACTGTCAAAGAATGTTTGCTCAGCAATACCCGCAAAGCTGTCAAGTCCAATAACAGTTCCAAAGAGTGAATCTGCAGTTCCCAAGAGTCCTGCTTCAACCATCAGAAAAACATACACAGTTCCGGACACCAGCAGTCCCAGAGCTTCACCTGTTCCATTTGCCCCTGTATCATCAAATAGCCTGCCTTCCCCTGCAATAGAAAAACAGGGAGGTGAAATACTGCCAACATGGCCATGCCGCGAGCCTTTATTGGATGATGCTTTAGACAGACTCTTAGCCCCTGAAACCACCCAACTGAGTGAGTACCAGCCACCTGCCTCTGTTATGCCTGACGACGAAGACAGATCTTGGGAGGAGGAAGACGGAATTTACCCTGATCTTAGCCGAGAGGGAACCCTTACACCCATGACTGAGTCCAGCTGGATGGATGAGTGTTTCACCCCCTCCACCTGCCCTGGGACACCAGATGCAACTCTGGAACTGCCCACACAGCAGCCCTCTGCTGTCGAGCGACTATCTGCTTCAGGCCAAGTAGGACGCTCAACTTGACTCTCCCAAAATAAGCTGCTGGCATAAACCTTTAATACCCCATGTGGTCTTTCTATTTCATCATGTGGCCTAAGATATTAATTATCTCTGACAATAATGGCAGAACAGCTGTGTCAGATAATTGTTCAAGCAGAATGTATCTTTAGTTGCTGAAACCAGCTTGTTTTGGGAACTGTGCAAAAGTACAAAAACACAAAAAAGTGTCTTGATGACAAGAAATTCCTCCGTCTATGTGGTGTGATGCATGTGGTGTCATTGCAAAGCAATTGCAAAATGGCTTGAGGGAAAAATCTCCCTGTTGAGACTTGTGACTGATGTTGAAAGCTTTGCTCAAAGGGATGTTTCCTCACGCCTCTACTCGCCTCAGTCGACATTGCTATGTTAGTCACAGGGCCTGGCCTGTCATGTTTAGGCAACCAATGGTTGATGCAAAGAATGTGTTTTAACCACCGATGATGTCGATGTAAAAACAGTAGGGTGGAAATTTTTCTTTTTTTGCTAATGCATTTATGCCCTAAGAACGTGCACATGTGATTAATTAATGGTTTGGCACGTGCAGACTTATGTGTAAGCATTTTGGGATAGACCTACTGTATGTTGTCTCGACTTTAGCTATCCAGCATGCAGTACCACAGATACCTGAGTTTAGTAGTTTTAAGTAGATTTGACAGTAGAGAATGACCTTGAATGGAATGGAGGCCTGTGCTTGGTTTCTGCAAACCCATTTGACTGCATACACGAGTAGCCTGACAAAACAAAAGTATATTCTGGAGCCAGAGCTTGAGCATTTTTGCCGCTTGAATGAGACCTCTTGTGCTGGGCTTGTCGTGCTTGTGCTTGTGACCCAACATGGACTTTCGGTTGATTGGCACAACCCCAGCTTCCCACACCTCCTTGTATCATCTACTCTCCAGCTCAAGTCGGTTATCCGCCGCACCAAAGAGACCTCCAATGTCCATCCAATGTTCAGAGAGGGAATGTTGCGACGTAAAATGGGACCTATTATTGTGAATAAGAGCAACTCGCAAGACCGACTCATTGAGGAGCTACAGGGGAAACTGGGAATAGGGAGAGTGGAGCGCAGGCGTAAACAACAGCCAGATGATTGGATGACAGAGGGAGTCATTGTCATGTCCAACCCACAGCGAACACGGGAAGAAGGCGCCCATCCATCTGTGGATAAGGTAGACATTAGAGGCGCACAGCAGGGGTCAGTGGTAGTCACTGCTATTCTGGGACCACATTAAACCAAGAGTTGAAACTGATCTGACCCTCTAATGCTTTAGTTTATGATTGGCTGGCCTATGGTCAAAAAATATAAATATTAAATATATAACATATAATGTTTCATTACATTGCCATAAAAATTTATTTGTCTTTGGCAGTCAATTTAAACAGTTCAGTTTGTTTCTATTACCATTTCCTTTTCCTCATTCTGACCTTTGTTTTTGTATGTGATCTGTTTGTTCTCCTCTCTTTCCTGTTTCCTTTTTCCTTCTTTCCCCCAGATCGTCATCCCTCCAGAATCACCTGCCCCACAGAGAAAAGTCCTCCCCCCTCCGCAATCTCCCCCAGCACCCAAAAAGCCACCCCCAGTTAAGCAGACTCCTCCGCCACTACCTCCTCCCCCTCCCACCCCTCCCCCTCCTCGAGAACCTACCCCTCCTCCCCCAAAGGAGCCCACTCCTCCCCCCAAGGAGCCCACGGCTCCCTCTGTCCAGCCCCCTCCGTCACCTAGCCCCCCTCCCAAGCCCATCACGCCACCTCCGCCTCCCAAGGTCTTTGTTTCAGTGGGTTGTCAGACCGAGTACGACCCCATCTTCCCACCAATGCAGGCACGGATCACCTCATACTCTCTTCCCACTTTCTATCGGCCACTTTCTTTTACACGTTGAGTTGTTTTACTTGCGTGTGTTTGCAGGTTATTTGGCTCAAATCCAAGCAGTTGCAATGTTGTATGCTACTCTGTATTTATGTGATCTATATAATTTGTCTGGTCATTGGCTCTGTTTTTGACCACTGGAGTCCATTCATGGCAAGTTGCAACAGGTAACCTCTTTAAGCTTTGTCTGAGATCCAGTCAGTTCAGGTTATGAGTGGTGCTGATATTCAGGCTACAGAGAGTAGAGAGTCCTTTTTCTAATTCTGACATCTGACGGCACTAAGGGCTGTGAGTTCAGAGTGGAGTGGAGAATTTAAGAGCTTGCAGGCATGAGGAGTGAAACCCCCTGCCTCCCCTGCCATGTTCCCGTTACACTAACTGTCCTGCCATGCGCAGGAATGGTAGGCTCGCAGTGCAACTGAAACTTAATCTGCCACATGACAGCACAGTTACCACCACAATTATAGCATCTCCCACAGGACTTCCGTCAACAGGTCCCACTAGGTTAGATACCAGCATGTTGAAGTTGAATGCCATGTTCCGTCACCTCTTTTAGAATCCATGGTGTCTTTTTTGGAGTAGTTTCGGTAAAGACTTGTAGAATAGTAGATTGATATGACTACAAGAGTATAATTGCATTCAGGTCAAAGGCCCAGTGAGATGCCTGGCTATTTTATTTGGTCAAATGTAAGCTGGGTCATTTTGCGTGTGAGTGTGAGGGAGCAGAGGCACTATTTTCTCTCTCAGAGGAATGTAAAAGTCATGAAGCTCCAATAACCACATCATCTAAAAAGGTCTGTGTTTGCTTACATTACAGTAGCCGGACACATTCACACACACAATGTTGATATAAGAAAGTCTTCATCAAAGACTGCAGACAAGCATTAGGGTTGATGATGTGAACATATTTTGTCCATGGCTTGTCTTGGTATTTTCTCTCTGTCTGTTCTCTGTCTAGCTGAAAGAGGAGACCACCATCGAAATTGTTCTCTTGTTGTACTACCAGCAATTCAGGGAGAGAATATTGTAGCAAAAGAATTACAAAGGCATTTACTTCAAATAATTATATTAGGTTAAAAATGTATGTAATACATCAAGGAGGTAAGTCCAAAAAAATCATCCAAAATGATGAGAACATATGCTGAACACAGGAACACTGACGGAACAGTTGATCCACGCAAACAATTATGTTACAAACTATGACTGCAACACTAACTGTGGATCTGATTCAAGACTGCTGACTGCCATACCCTTCCGCAAAGAAGTATTAACTGCAATGCTGTTTATCGAAGTGTTTGTCAACCTGGCATAAATCAGAATGATATAGTGAAGCCACTTTGGTCTTCCATCTCTATCAGATTCAGTCCCAAGGAAAGACTTCTCCCACCGGTCCCCCCAAACCAGCCAACAAGCTGGACAACATGCTGGGAAGCCTGCAGTCGGACCTCAACAGACTTGGAGTCCAGACGGTGGCTAAAGGTGTCTGCGGAGCCTGCAAGAAACCCATTGTTGGGCAGGTAAGGATAACACTGAGTCATATACTCTTTTAAATAAGACTTCAATTGGTGCACATACTGAATTTAATCTTGCATGCTTGTAGATACACGTGCACACATGATTTCTGTGGTATATATATACAAAACAATCATGGGATTACCGAATTGGCTTTCAAAACATCATCAGCTTTTTTTTGTTGTTGTTGTTGAAAAGGTGAGGAAAGGAAGCTTTCACACACAGATGTATTTGTCCAAGTCAGACAGGCTACTCCACATATCTCAGGCTGTGCTGACTGCTTAAGGTCCAAGCCAGGCAATCTATCAACAATTCAGCTGTTATTTAACTGGCAACCAATATGTACACTATAAAACGTGAAGCTTTTATTCTGTGTTTTATTGCATTTACCTACTTACTTTGAGACTTCTGTTTAAGCGCATACATATTGTTTTCTGTGAATCATGATCCAGCTGACATTGAGTGGGATGATTTTGAAAATATAACCATAAATGTGTAAAATGGTCAGTCTTTAAACATTGAGTCATAAGTCCTGCATCTGCTGCTGTTTGCAGCATCCGCTTTGCTTCTTGCATGCAAGGCTGCAGCGATTTTCTCTGCTGAGCCAGGTCTTTTCCTTAGACGCTCATTTCAATTTAATGCACTGTGTCTCCCCACACCAGGTGGTGACTGCCATGGGCAGAACGTGGCACCCCGAGCACTTTGTGTGCACCCACTGCCAGGAGGAGATAGGCTCCAGGAACTTCTTTGAGCGGGATGGGCAGCCTTACTGTGAGAAAGACTACCACAGCCTGTTCTCACCGCGATGCCACTACTGTAATGGACCCATACTGGATGTTAGTAATGCATACATTAACACACACACACACACACACACACACACACACACTAGCCTGGTAATGATAATGATATTTATTTATTCATAACTTAATGGATTAAGGCCTTACTGGAAAAATCACTACATGTCGGAAATTGCCTTTATTTCTCAAGCAGACAGTTGATTAGTCAGGCATGCGCACACACACACACACACACACACACACAGCACTAGATGCACTACAAGTAAAGGGACTTCTAGTTGCCTTGCGCAGACTAACCAACTCGTATGTCCATCTCACTGCATGCTATTCTCCTCTCTCGCTCATCAGCTCTCAGTCTTATCCTCATAGTGACACACTCCCATCGGGGGGTTTTCAGCCTTTGCTCTTACACACACTCACCCGCACACACCCTTACACACAGTGCCAGAGGTACTAGAAGGGAAGTAGACAGTGGACATTAACCTGGAGAAAGGCCAACGTTTCCTAATTCACTACTTTCTCTCTGTCTGCAGTAAGTCATTTGTGACTTTGACAATGGTTTACAGTCAAACCTTGCTTTTGGGGTTTTAACTAGGGGTGTAGGAGGGATTGTATAATCTAGGACTGAGGGAAACACTACAATTCTCAATTCTAAATAAAGAAAATCATAAAAAGAAATCTTTAATGCTGGACTGTATATATAGGTGTTTATATTTAATTGTGTCAAACATCTGAGTTGATTGTGATTTCCTCATTTGTTTGATGAATTATCTTATTTACATGCAGTATTTTTTATCCCCTGTTGTAATATTTTCAATTTAGTTGCTCTGTATCTAAAATAATATCTATATGAATGATGAATGCTTGACATTGCCCCACCTCAAAAAAACGCTCTTTTTCAACACTGCACCCCCTGGTGGAAAAGCCGAGAATCAGTTGTGCTTGCAAATGTTAAAGGGGTTTGTAACAGTGTAACAGTAATTCTTGCCCTTCTTCAGAACCTTAGCAGGTGTGGATGTTGTGAAATCTTGTGCTACACGAACAGTATGTCTGTGCTTGCAGCTGAAGCTGAATGCTATCAGGCCTGGAAAACACGAGGTAACAGTCATAGCATTCCTGCACCTCCCACACTGCCTCTGTGGACTTTGCCTGCCCTCTGTCTTTCTGTTGTGTTAGTTTCTCCCATAATGACAGACTTACATGCTTATAATATATGGTGACGTTCTTTTAGAGCAAGGTCAGGGATCACCTTTTTCCCGATCATTTATGGCTCACACCTTCTATGCAGGAAGTGAATGATTGACCGTTTGTGTCTCCTTTGTTTCACAGAGAGTGGTGACTGCTTTGGACAAGACTTGGCACCCAGAGCACTTCTTCTGTGCCCAGTGTGGAGCCTTTTTTGGACCAGAAGGTACCAACTGCTCAATTAATTACACCTGGCTTGTGTAGAAAAAGCGCTGTAAACTTTGATTATTATTAAAACAAGCCTACAGTGAGTCACTGTGTGTCTTTGCTGCCCTCTAGGTTTCCATGAGAAGGATGGAAAGGCATTCTGCAGAAAGGACTACTTTGACATGTTTGCCCCTAAATGTGGTGGCTGTGCCCGTGCCATCCTTGAGAACTACATCTCTGCTCTAAACTCACTCTGGCACCCTGAATGCTTCGTCTGCAGGGTGAGTCACTCCACACATCTTTAATGTGTCTGGACATACTACTATGTGTCAACCCATCAGCGTAAATTCTACCTCCTCTCTTTTGATTTTCCAGGAGTGCTTCACGCCATTCATAAACGGCAGCTTCTTTGACCACGAGGGCCAGCCGTACTGTGAGTCGCACTACCACGAGCGGCGCGGCTCGCTGTGCTCCGGCTGCCAGAAGCCCATCACCGGCCGCTGCATCACTGCCATGGGCAAGAAGTTCCACCCAGAGCACTTTGTGTGCGCTTTCTGCCTCAAGCAGCTCAACAAAGGCACCTTCAAGGAGCAGAATGACAAGCCCTACTGCCAAGGCTGCTTCATTAAACTCTTCAGTTAGACTGTGCGTTTGTGTATAAATGTGTGTGTGCACACGCGTCGACACATTTATTTACGTGCCTGAATGCACGTGTGGATGAGTGTGCACTCAAATGTCTAGCATGTATGAGTCAGTGAAGTGTTTTTCTGAGTCTGTGATCACATCACAAGAGTGAGAAATGTCTCTGACCATTGACCCTTCACTCTGAAGGGACTTCCCTGGCTGTCCAACCTCTCAGGCTTGGCATTTCACACTTTTGCTAAGGACGTTTTTAAACAGAGCCCAAAGAGATTTTTATTTAGCATTTTATTCCTGTGTGTGCAGCAAAGAAAATGCATTAATTTCCCCTTGTGTGTGTACAGATAGAAGCATATGAGGGCCAAATTAAGAAGTCCTCAGAGGCCCGATTTGTAAATGATTTTATTCCCCCATTGCAGGGCAAGACCTTGCACCATATGGTGGTTTTGTTTGATTGCATGGACCATGGAGAGTTGACTTAAGCGGTTTCAAAATATGTTGAGTGTTAAATACCCAGTGCTTGGCCAATGAGCACTGAAAATACTCTATGAAAAAGATGTATTTTTCTAGCTTTGGAAACTATTGAGGTGCCATTTAAAATGAAAACACTCCATGTGTACATGCACACAGACACACACTGAACTTCTTCAATTCTTTAAAATACCAGTTCAAACTCTTTGCACACTCTAACCACAGATCTCTTGATGAGACCATCTTAAGGTGCGTTTTACAGGTGTCGGCAAGATATTAGCTAGCCCTTATTTTTCTACTGTTTTACTATGAAAATGAACCCAGATGCTTTCTCAGTTTCAGCATACATTACATTCACATTTGTGTTTTCATTTTTTCCCAGCGGAAGTGAAATCAAACATTAGAAAGTAATCACACTGAACTTTTTCCCCCTGTAGCAACTTGGGAGTTTGTTTTTACTTCCCTATTGCAAAGTGTGTGTTGTGTCACATACATTTGAATAATGTTCAAATAAAATTTAACGGTTGCGACAGGATAGTAAATGGATAGTAAAGGATAGTAAATGTACAATGGTTATTAATATTGATCTTGTGGTGCAATTTAAAACAAGCCAAGACAAAATTAATTGTATTCTCCAGTTTAAAAGCGGAGATTTCACTGCTGTATTTGCCCACACAGTATAAATTCAGAAGAATTCAATTTAGGATTAGAAGATTAGAAGCGTGGTTTCATTTATGTGGCACTAGCTGCCAGTTGCTTTTACAATCAGAGTCTAAATTTATATACCTGTAATATGCTCGACTTTGTGACGGAGCTGTGTTTTGTCACTGTTTTTGATGAATCTAGAGATATTTTTTAGCTGTTTGGGCTCACACTGATATGCAAGGAGCTGGCTCTATTGACATGTAGGCTAACAATAGTTTGCCCTGTTGTCACAAACACGCACCAGCCTGGATTCCAGTGTGTCAGACTTCCAAGGAAACGCAGCCCTTATCATTTTTGTTACGAGTCGTGAACTGTGACCCTGCTGTCTGAGTTGATATCAGCGCGTGGCTCACTGATGGAAGCTGGATGTTAGTGTTAGCTGGTCAGGAATCAGAATACGACACAGAGCCTGGGCCAAGCCTTTAGCTAAATCTATGTGATTACTCATTTCATTTTTTTTTGACAATGTTGCTTCTCTTTTAATTTTGATCAATAGGTGTGCAAGGAGGGAATACACAGTATTCACATTCAGATCGTTTGACTTTGAGGGGATGTTTGCTCTTGTGCCAAATGTGTCAATGCAATAAGGTCTTATACACTGTGGAGATCTCAACCTTTCCTGTGATTGGACTCTTTATGGGCTGAACTCTGGGAGAGGCTTTATCTGCTGTGATGCATTTTAACTCTGAACACCCAAAAGTTTACACTGTAATAGAAAAGCCAAGGAGAAACCTTCTGTCCTGCGTCATTCAGCAGACAGCATGGCGTACACTTGTAGCTGATTCAGATTTACAGGAAGTAGCAAGGGGAAATGAACAGTTAATTTAGCCCCATGTATATTTATCTGCATACAGTATACTGCCTTATAGTTTTTGCTTCTGTCAAAGAGTTCATGAGAGAAAATCCAAGCCTTTTACTGTTGAGGAGATTATGTGGATTTTGCTTTGTAAACGGAGACATTCATGTCATCTTCTACCATTTGAATTGTCTCATGAGCCATAGATGTTACTGGCTCTTTGTGTAGGTGGGGTGTAAGCTTATGTGGGTCTTCATTACTGACTGATTATTATTACTGCTGCAAATAAAACAAGTACTTTATTTCTGGCATTGTTTTGTCTGAAAAGTGATTTTGTGGTTTTTCTTTTCGCCCACACCTTTACTATTCAGTGTTTTTGTGTTAAACCAGATCTTTGGCACACAGGATTTTCACAAAGAATTATAACACACTAAGTGGAAGAAATCAGCTTTGAGTTTTTATATTATTTGCAAGACTGTAGCAAATGAACAGAATATGTCACCTTGTGATGAATAATAAAATGCATGCTGTCCCGCACTAGCAGTGTTATACACGAAGAAAATCTGAAATCTGTATCCCGTTCAATAAAGTCAGAAGGTGCACTCTGTGTATATCAAATGCAGGACATTACACGTTTACTACAGCTTTTAAGTTGGTTCCCAACCTTTTGGCTTGGCCAAGGGATGCTTACTTAAATATCATTTTGTGTAGCAGAAACATGTTTCTATCTTCTTAATTATCTCATGACCCCATACCTTTTATTTTGTGACCCCTTGTCACTAAATAAATAAAACTACACGGTAAAGCTCCGTGAGCGCCATTTAATTTTTTAAGTCTGTATTAGTTTCAAGTAAATACCCATTCAAATTGTATTGAAAATCAAAACCCCAGACAATAATTTGATCCCAACTGGTTCTCCAGTGGTCAAACAACAATGTCTACAATCAGACTGGCCTATTAAAACAAAGTAGTTCAATATACCTGACAAACACAAGGACAAGACAACACATCTCTCTGGAAAGGAGAGATTGTGACCTGAAGTCTGTACTCTGTGAGCGCTCGGAGCTTGCCAGCAAGCTCAGAGAGGTGCGGGTGGCTATCAAGAATCTCCAAGTACTCTAGGTCCTGCAGCTGGTGAAGGTGTAGGAAATCTTTTTCTGGTACATGTTCATGGCGAAGTTTGAGTGTTTTGAGCTTTGGAAAAAGTTGTGGGATTTGAGCTGTGTGAGCTCCCAAGTGTGAGGGCCAGGGGTCGATATGGAGGTGCAGGAGATTTGGCACCTGCGCTGCTACGGCTGCCATGTCCACAGAGGATAATCCTGCAACACGCAGTGTGAGACTGGTCACTGTGGCTGGAATGGAGGTGACATACTTCTTAACAGGCGGGCCCTTGACAATGACCAGGGTTGACAGTTCAGGGAGATCACTCAGCCATGTTTTCAGGTGACCCACAGGTGATGGCCGTCTTTGGGGCATCTCCTGACCTGAGTGACTGTAGAAAACAGCAAGACTCGTCAGGCCAGGCATCAGCCGCATTGCATCTTCTGGTAATGGATGCTCCATGCAGCTGATTAGTTCCAAACTGGACAAGGCTGGGACACCAGCTTGTCCATGTGCTCCTCTGGGAATATTGTGAGGGGCGAACAGTATGTGCATAATGGACAATGAGAGGTGCTTCAGCTTAGGCAGGCAATTAAGTAAGGATTGAAGCATCCAAATGGGTTCTTCAGAGATCCCAATCTGATGACAAACCAGGTGTGTCAGATTTGCAAACTGGGAGACAGCAGAAATGAAGATACCCATTGCTGTAGTGGGTAATTTAACATCACACATGCTAAGGTGGGTCAGCTGCTGGGGCCGGCAGACTGTGGAAGCATCTAGCAAAAGAGAAGTGCGACAGTTTCTAATAGCCAGACGCTTCAAATCTGGAAAGTCCTTTAAGCAGTCGAGGCTCGCTTGAGAGCTTTTGTCCATTACCACTGTGGTGAGGGAAGGAAGGGACAGGGCAAGCTGTTTCCAGTCCTTAGCTTTGCTGCTCCTCACCACCACACTTGTGACTCTTCTGCGGCGGAGACTGGCCCAGAACTGACTGTTGTAAGAGCCATACTGAAAACTCAGAACTACTGACCAGTCTTTCCAAAGAGATCCGTGGTCAACAAGTTTTTTGAAATACTTGCAGGACGCCCGGACGCTAAACTTGTCTGCCGCTGACAGGTAGCCAAAAACGTGGTTCCAGACCTCTGACGGAAGCAGTAGAGCCGACGGTAACATTGCTTTGCTCTAGATATGTTAGCTAACTACATATATATGGATATAACACCGGTATTCACTTTGCGAGTTACCATAACCTTAAACCTTGGCTGAAAGAAAGAAACACCTTTCTTTACTCCATGCTTACTGCTTTTAGTTGGCACGTGATCTACTTTGAGTGACTCGTAGGCTGTAGTGAGATGGATTCTTCTTATTGGCTAGTGTGGCAACAGAGGTGATTGACACACCAACCATCCAATAGTTGTTTAGCTGATGCCGTAACTCCAATGTGATTGGTCACCAGTTTGGTATATATTTTCCTCGCGGCCATCATCTTCCTCTTTCTTTCACGCGACCCCTTTGAATAAGGTAAGGCTCGTCTTTTGTGCTTTCCGAAAACGAAGACACTAATATAAAGATCAAGATTATATTTGAGAAAAATCGTCTATAGCACTTTTAAAGATGTGTTATGCCCCTTTCAAGGTACGGTTGTGACTTAACGTTAAGTTTGCGCGGCCTGTTCTTAGCTAGCCTGCGATTAGCCTGCCACGTTAGCCGTCGACCACATGTCAGGATATACAGGATATCTAGGATTGTGTCGTTGCCTGTTGGGTATCTAAACTACATGTATTTTTATTTTTGGGCTGTAGGTACTACCTTGTCTTTAAACCAGCTGTTAAGCGATCCTTGGAAGCACTGCAAAGATGCCCAGGGAAGACAGGGCCACGTGGAAGTCCAACTATTTTATGAAAATCATCGTAAGTAGGACTTGACTTATGTAAGTTCATATTCACACATAATCTAATCTTTGTTTAGTGTATATTGAATATACACATAGTAAGTTACTTTCAGTCTTGTTTATCTGTGACTTACTAACGTTACTATGCTCTTTATCTGTAGCAACTTTTGGATGACTATCCAAAATGCTTCATTGTGGGTGCAGACAATGTGGGCTCCAAGCAGATGCAGACCATCCGTCTGTCTCTGCGTGGCAAGGCTGTGGTGCTGATGGGTAAAAACACCATGATGCGCAAAGCCATTCGTGGCCACCTGGAGAACAATCCTGCTCTGGAGAAGTAAGTTTATGGTTTCCTCTACTTTTGCTACTCTGAACCACCAGTTATTATATAGCAGGATAAGTTACAATGCAGCTTGCGTGGTACTGCTTTGTCGTTCCCCCTGCAAACAATAACCTGTTTCCTCGCTATACCTGTCTGTCACCATCTTGACTGCCAGGGACGTAAGGTTTCAGACATTAACAGCATTTTAGAAATGGCAGTCTGCTTACATATTTAACAGTCAATCTCATGGTTTCACAGGCTCCTGCCCCACATTAAAGGGAATGTGGGCTTTGTCTTCACCAAGGAGGATCTGGCTGAGGTCAGGGACCTGCTGCTGGCCAACAAGGTAAAAGCCCAAGAGAAATCTGACGGAACAACCACTTCTAGTGCTTCTAGTTGTACAACCAGAGTCTAGATTGCTGCTAAAATTTTATGATGCATGACATCTCTATAGATATACACTTGCATCATTGTGTAGATTTACATTTAGTAAGTACATGGTAACAACTTGGAAAAGTGTCTAACTGAATAAAAACATTATTCAGCAGTAAGTGCTAGCACATGACTTCTGAAGGTCATGTGCAGCTGCAATCAGTAACACCCTAGGAACCAAGTTGATCAGTACAGTCTAACAGTATTCTCACAGTCGACGTGCAGGATAAGTTACAATGCAGCTTGTTTGGTGCTGCTTTGTCGTTCCCCCTGCAGATAGTAACCTGTTTCCTCGCTATACCTGTCAGTCACTATCTTGACTGCCAGGGACGTAAGGTTTCAGACACTTATACAGAAAACAGGAGAATCCAACTTAAAACTTGCTGAGCCTCCAGAAACCCGTTCAAGCCTGCCCTTAATATGCAAGTTAGGCAAAATGGCACACTAAACTGTTATAAACTTGTTATACCCCAGGTACCTGCAGCTGCCCGTGCTGGAGCCATAGCTCCTTGTGATGTGACTGTACCAGCCCAGAACACTGGTCTGGGTCCCGAGAAGACCTCTTTCTTCCAAAGCTCTGGGTATCACCACCAAGATCTCCAGGGGAACCATTGAAATCCTGGTGAGTTGGAAGTGTTACACGGCGTTATTTCACTGACACAGGACGTCCTGTTGAAGCAACTGTTCCAGCCTACAGTGAAACACACAGATGTTGATGCTAACCGAATGTCTAGCAAAAATGTTTGCATCAGTAACTAACCAGTATTTCTGTCCCCAGAGTGACGTCGGTCTGATCAAGACGGGCGACAAGGTTGGTGCCAGCGAGGCCACACTGCTCAACATGCTGAACATCTCACCCTTCTCCTTCGGCCTGATCATCCAGCAGGTGTATGATAATGGCAGTGTTTACAGTCCTGAGGTGCTCGACATTACAGAGGCTTCTCTGCATGCCAGGTTCCTGGAGGTGAGATTAAGTCTTTGTATAAAGAACTGTTCTTGCAACTAAAACTAATTCAGTAAGATCGCTTGTCATATTTCCAGTTGTTAATCTGTAAATTGGTTCGTTAAATAAAATTTGTGCATTCTTTAGGGTGTGAGGAACATTGCTAGCGTGTGTCTGGAGATTGGCTATCCCACTTTGGCCTCTGTACCCCACTCAATCATCAATGGCTACAAGAGGGTCCTGGCTGTCGCTGTTGAAACGGACTACTCCTTCCCCCTGGCAGACAAGGTATACACATCAGACCAGTAACTGATCCCCATTAGTTAAACTGCAGGACATGTATTTAGTTGAAGCCTGTATAGTGATGAATTAATCACGCTGCCAAGAGCAACATGTGTTCAGTGTTTCTGGTCAGTGAGGATGCCTCTTTTCAGACAGCCCCTTAGATTCAAAATTGTCCTAGAGCCTATAATCTGAGACACGTTTTGCATTACCAAGAAACCGCTTCACATAAATGGAAAACTAACATACCTTTTTTTGTCCTCCAAAGGTCAAGGCCTTCCTGGCAGACCCATCTGCTTTTGCTGCTGTCGCAGCACCTGCAGCAGCTGCTGAAACTGCTGCAGCTCCAGCAGCTGCTGCCAAGGAGGAGGTTAAGGAGGAATCTGAGGAATCAGATGACGACATGGGCTTTGGTCTGTTCGACTAATTCAAATACTGAACAGAACCAGATAAGAATCAAATAAGACCGTGATTCAATAAAATTGTCTCTCTAGCTCTGTGCCTTGTGTGGATTTTTCTTGGCTTGAGTGGTATAGCTGCATGTGTTATAAGTGATACTGAATGTGTGGGTACTAAGGAGGAATGAAGCCCACTGATTTGCAGATGTTGTGTAAACTTTGTTTGTGCCGAATTCTGATTGCATGCACCTCTCGGGCAGTTAACGGTCATGTATGCTGAGAAAGTGGGGATGCAAATCTCGGCAGGTGGCAATCTTCTGGTGAACTACGCATCCACCAAGATACACTTCAGACCCTTAGTTTTGCACATTGATCAAATGTGGTAATCACCATATTTGCTGAATCTCAAATGTTAGTTCATATTGTAATATATTAACTACTGTAAATGTTAAAATATACTTTGAACCCCACAAAGGATGATATAACCTCCTAAAGCGGTAATGGGAGGTGCACGCTATTCTCGGTAGGCATAACACCTGGCTTGTATTGAACTTAGGAGGTGCTCAAAGCAGCTTCCTCAATCCACTGACTGGGTTCAAAGTTTGTTGAAAAATGAACATTTTGCTGGGTGACTTCATTTTTCCCGAGAACCACTAAAGACTTCCTGTTTTGGTGTATCTGCCTTCAAAATAAAACTAGATATTCTGCCAATTTTGTGATGGATGAGAATGTAGATAAGTTTATATTCACTTAGCAAAGCTGCGCACTGAAACACTACACATTTCATTGCATTTTAATTTATTTAAATAAGTAAAAACCGTTGAGTGGCCATGGATTAAACCAGCCTGACTTTGATATCCCAGTGGGGCTTTTGATAACATTTAGATCAGATTGAGTAAGGGTACTAAATTTGGCTGATTTGTGCTGCATTATTAAAACTAAGCTGTGCAGTTTCAAATTCTATATGAAAATGTCTTTGTAGCCAAATGATTCAACAGCTTAGTTTATTATTATTAGCATCTAAGTGGTGGTGGGCAGATAAATGTTAATGTGGAAGTATGTCCACATGAAGTTCCAAGCTGGCAAAGAAAAGATATCCATCTAACACATTAGTAATGTTTTATTGCATTTGATAAATTAGCTTTATTTCAAAGTAAGTTTTACACGTACGTAGCTTGCTTTCTGATTCTGGGGCATAACAATAAATATAGTAGATGGAAAATACAAGATAAAGCAAATACTTCAGGTCAAAGAAGATAAAAAATATTAAAGAATATAGCCGCAATCGGATTATTAGGAACACCATACTAATACTGTGTTTGACCCCCTTTCGCCTTCAGAACTGCCTTAATTCTACGTGGCATTGATTCAACAAGGTGCTGAAAGCATTCTTTAGAAATGTTGGCCCATATTGATAGGATAGCATCTTGCAGTTGATGGAGATTTGTGGGATGCACATCCAGGGCACGAAGCTCCCGTTCCACCACATCCCAAAGATGCTCTATTGGGTTGAGATCTGGTGACTGTGGGGGCCATTTTAGTACAGTGAACTCATTGTCGTGTTCAAGAAACCAATTTGAAATGATTCGAGCTTTGTGACATGGTGCATTATCCTGCTGGAAGTAGCCATCAGAGGATGGGTACATGGTGGCCATAAAGGGATGGACACGGTCAGAAACAATGCTCAGGTAGGCCGTGGCATTTAAACGATGCCCAATTGGCACTAAGGGGCCTAAAGTGTGCCAAGAAAACATCCCCCACACCATTACACCACCACCACCGGCCTGCACAGTGGTAACAAGGCATGATGGATCCATGTTCTCATTCTGTTTACGCCAAATTCTGACTCTACCATCTGAATGTCTCAACAGAAATCGAGACTCATCAGACCAGGCAACATTTTTCCAGTCTTCAACTGTCCAATTTTGGTGCGCTCTTGCAAATTGTATCCTCTTTTTTCTATTTGTAGTGGAGATGAGTGGTACCCGGTGGGGTCTTCTGCTGTTGTAGCCCATCCGCCTCAAGGTTGTGCGTGTTGTGGCTTCACAAATGCTTTGCTGCATACCTCGGTTGTAACGAGTGGTTATTTCAGTCAAAGTTGCTCTTCTATCAGCTTGAATCAGTCGGCCCATTCTCCTCTGACCTCTAGCATCAACAAGGCATTTTCACCCACAGGACTGCCGCATACTGGATGTTTTTTCCTTTTCACACCATTCTTTGTAAACCCTAGAAATGGTTGTACGTGAAAATCCCAGTAACTGAGCAGATTGTGAAATACTCAGACCGGCCCGTCTGTCACCAACAACCACAAATTGCTTAAATCACCTTTCTTTCCCATTCTGACATTCAGTTTGGAGTTCAGGAGATTGTCTTGACCAGGACCACACCCCTAAATGCATTGAAGCAACTGCCATGTGATTGGTTGATTAGATGATTGCATTAATGAGAAATTGAACAGGTGTTCCTAATAATCCTTTAGGTGAGTGTATAGCCTGATTTGTATCATTCCACGTCCAGTTACGATGCATTTATAGCGCCTCCTAGTGGTGGATTTGAACGAGACTTTCAGGGTATGTGTGAGGTGCTTATGTAGACATATCCTGGAAGTTCTGTGTTGATTGGACAAACAATATGCATTTTGTTGCCTGTTTTGCGTTTTATCCCCTGCACTTTGTTTGCATTTATTGCGCCCCAGGGTGTTCGCTTTGAATGAAACTTTCACGGCATGTTTCATTTACTTATGAGGACATATCCTGTGAGTTTTGTAATGATCGGCCCTACGGTTGCTGATTTGTCATGTCCAGAACCACGCCCCTTTCAAAGTTCATTGGTCCATATCTTTAAAAGTAATTGAGATATCGACATGCTTTGTACAACTTTTAATAGGCTTGATCCAATGATGATTCACTGAAAATTTGGTGGCAATCGGAGCTACGGAGATGTCAAAAATGTGATTTTCAAAAAGTTCAAAATGGCGGAAAGAAACTCTAGGCAGACATTAATAGTCCTTGAGGCTTTTTTGTAGAGCACATTGAGCTCCAAAGTTAGCATTTTTAAGCCTTAATTATAGCGCCACCATATGGCCGATTGAGTTCATATTTCTATGGAAGCTGATGCACACCATTTCCAGTTATTCCCGCAAGTTTCATGTTTCTGTCTCATTCCAGCTCACGGGAATTTGAGACAAAAAATAATAATGATAATAATAATAACTAAAACACACAAACATAAATATGTACAATCACAACCAATACCTCTACGCAAAGGACAGTTTTATTGTGAAAACAAAGGATGAGCTGGTGGAGCATTGGTGCGCAGCCGCAGTACCACCAGGGGAATCGTCCACTATGGCTGAGGTAAGGGGGGTTTGGGATTTTAATTTTAAAGATCGACGCGTGATTATATGGCTGAATATTTAACATATTACGGTGATTTATTGATTTGGGTTATGATACAGGCTAACATTGTCATATTTTCCAGCGGCGTTGATTGACCAGCTAACGTAAGCTAACGTGTTGTTAGCTAATGGATCGTATTATTGAACGATTTTCTAATATAACCATAATTTACAACAGTTTTATTAACAGTGTCAACTGTCAGCTGAGTGAGAAAGAAGAAATGTTTATGTTGTGGTAGCTGTTAGCTTGTTAATCACGTTAGCATGTGTGTACACTGATTAGCTAACGTTATAAACCTGTGTAACATTAGCATGGGCGTCCTGGTTACTCTTCATGAAAGTCAGCCTTGTTTTTCCAGACCCACAGCTTACAGGACCTCCAGCAGCCCGCTGTCTCCTCCAAGGTGTTTGTTCAGAGGGACTACAGCTCAGGAACCATCTGCAGGTTTCACACCAAGTTCCCCTCTGAACTTGAGCCACGGGTATGTGCAATGTTTACATGGGCGTTGTGATGGTTGACTGAATGTTAAACTATTGTGTGTAATGTCTAAACTGTGTGGTTACAGCTTGATAAGCAGCAGTTTGAGGAGACCATCCACACCCTAAACAACCTGTATGCAGAGGCAGAGAAACTCGGGGGGAAGTCTTATTTGGAGGGCTGCCTAGCTTGTCTGACTGCCTACACGATCTTCCTCTGTATGGAGACACACTATGAAAAGGTAAAACTGCTCCAACGTTGTTTATATCATCAGCTTATACTTTTGTCTCTGGCCGGTCTGACAGATCTACATCTCAGCCTATATCTTAACTGTGTATGCTACTGTCTGTCGCTCTGTATGCAGGTGTTGAAGAAGATCACCAGGTACATTAAGGACCAGAATGAGAAGATATATGCTCCCAGGGGCTTGCTGCTGACTGACCCCATAGAGAGAGGCCTCAGAGTCGTATCCTTCTCCTAGCTAATGTCAGATGAATTGCATCACCAGGGCTAATTAATGGAGGCATTATGTATGTTGTCCTACGAGTATGTCTGTGTATTGTTTGTTTTTTTTAGTTCTACATAGCAGCACATTACTATGTCCACATTGTGATAATTGATGATTGTGATACAAAGAGGCTGATCTGCTGTCAGCTTTTTTGATTTTCAGTTTTTTAGTGGTCTTCGTAATGATTTATCTCCAGATCAGCCATAACTGTCCTAGGTAGTGTGTTGACATATGACAGTAAACAGTGGGGTAGAAAACTACTAAAGTTATACTGATATACTGTCAAATTAGGAGTACTGGTAGGTGTTGATAATGTTGCCTTGCCCATTTATAAATAATTTCCTTCTCCATGCTTGGTCAGGTTATACATGCACCTAATTTTACACACCACTTCTAAACTAACTAATGTCTTCTTAACCTTAGAAAATACTGTACTTGACTCCATAATGTCAGTAGTACATTTAAACATAACTGGTGCAACCTTGTGCATGCTAAGAAAAGGCAATTGTTGATAATTATATAAGTAAAATGTAGTACTGTGCATTTCCTTTAACTTGCTATCTTCTAGATTGAAATTACCATCTTTGAAGACAGAAGTATTGGTTCTGAAAGATAAAGAATTATTCAGGTATGGAAATACTTATGTATTTTTAATCAAGAGTCAGGTCGACTGGAAGAGTCTTGGGCCCTCTTATTTGACGTTTTTTCCCTTAACTCTAGAAATTACAATTTTATGAAGGGATTTTCACAAAACGGATCTCTGAATGCTTTTAATTCGATCATTTCATAGTGCTCACTCATTTCATAATGCTCACTTAGCAGCGCATTTACTACCAGCTAGTCAAAACATAAATGAACACTGAAATCTCCATTGTCAATACTTGTTGCTTATTGTTGATGCTAACACAATTTTCTTCTTTCTTTCTACCTCACTGTATAGGGGAAAGAAACAGACACTCCTCATCTGTCTGGCAGCACACATTCAGACATCTGCTTCACCTGAATGGATGTATATAATTTTAATCTGATCCTTTTCTCTGTTATTTATAAGTACTCTATCGTCTGCCTACCCTTTTAAGTTTTGTAAATGTGTTTTCAAGTCTTTTTGTACATGTGCCGATATAAATCATGCCCTAGGTGATCCAGACCGGTCTTTATGAATGGTGCCAATGTGACTGTAATAAATGCAAGTGCAAATAATATAACATGTGTATTCGCCAAGAACTGATTCAGAAATAGGTTGGGACGGAGTTGTTGTCACAGTCCATAAACAGCAATTCTTTTATGGGCAGTGCTCCACATTATTAACATGCTGGTTGTAGTTTTTGTTGAGGCAGATGTTTTTTGCATCTGTGTGTGAGTGTGATTATTTTTGGGGCGAGGGTGGATCATGTCTTGTGAAACACACATCGGAAGTTCTGAACTGGAGTTTTTGTGACTTTTTGTGTGGAGCATGTTTGCTGTTAACACAAAATAATAACATCACTGAGTACATTTTGAGATATGTCTGTCTCTGCCGTGTCATAGTACAACTGCAATCAGTTTCCTAAATCATGGTCAATGGTTCTGTCACGTTTCCCATAAGATTCAGTATCTATATTGCGAATGTCCTCTCCCTTTTCATTATCACCAAACACCACAGAGACCTTTAAACACTGAATTCCACAAATAATTGCAAAAGTTGGTGTTCGATACAACTGGTGTACTTTTCTTCCAAATGTTCTAAATAAATAGCCTTTTCCTGAAGTCTGCAGAGCTCCTTGTGTTTGACCTTATTTCAAATATCGGAGTGCATAAAGCTTTGAAGAAACCTGACTGCAGTATTATGTGTGGGAAATGGATTCCAAAACAAGTTAATTGTTTTAAATAATTATTAGCACATAAACCTACCAACACCTGCAGTTTTTTCAGTATGGTTTACCTAGATTAGTAAGTGTCGCTTTTATTCTGAAAAACAGACCGGATATGTTATTCCTTTTGCCTCCGGAAGCTAAACAATGATGGCTACAATGATGCTGAACCACCGCTGCCTGTGACTTAAATTGTAGTCCTTTGCGCTCATATGTCAACAGCACCTCAGTAAAACAACCCCAAGTCCAAATAGTGCACGTGAACCAACACGGTAAGCCCAGTTGAATTACTACAAGCTTGAGCCAGCGATTAACCTCACGTGCGTTAACGTTAACCAAAGTCGGCTAACGCTAGCTTTGTTTTGATTTGGTAACGTTAGTTTTAGGGAGTTAAAACATATCACACGGTTGCTACTGCTCACACGCAATCTGCATTTTGTTAATTAAGCTGACATTAGGTCGGTAATAAGTGAACTTCATCACTCTGTCCACAGGCCCCGTCCTTCTCTGTCCACCCTGGCGTTCACGTCTTGATGGCATTTCCCGATAACCGGTATCTACCAAAGCATGAATGTCAGTTCGTGCATCAGGTCAAGGATGAGCTGCAAACTTACCAACAGAAGAGCAGCCGCAACAGGTAAGTTAACGACCATTATGAAAATGGACCATATAAGTGTACAGCTTAACGTTTCTACAGTTTAATCATGTGATTGTTTTAAACTCTGTTAATGAAACTTTACAGATGTTTGCTTGTCAGACAAAAAGTGTTTTATTGTGAAGAACCCATCATTCCATTATGCATCTTCCTGTCATCTTGACAAAGACGTACAGTCTTATAAATAACTGTGATATACACTGTTAACACTTATTCATCACAGTATAGCATGGACTCAGTTAAACTTCAGGGATATGATGTTAGGAAGCATTAGCGATCAGTGTCACCTGTTTTGGTGCAAATGAAAGTAAGAACAGGTGCACTACCGAGGCATCAGCAAGACAACCTCCAAAAGGAAATGGTTTTACAGGCAGTGGCCACAGACAATGGCTCTCTCCTTATCCATGCTGGCTGATTGTTCTCTAGTTATGCATTTTGCTTGTGTTCTTGTAACATCTGGTAGCACAAGGCGGTACCTGCAGCCCCAGCTAACCTGGGTAAACTGCCTTCCAGTACTTTGCATGTGAAAGGCTTTAAATACTGAACAGGTCATCTATTGGATACATTAAAAAGTTCATAAAGGGCCTTTTAAAGAGAAGAGGTTTACATGCTCTAGTGTGTGACTGTCTGTGTTTGTGGTGTAACTTCCCACTGGCCGTGTTTTTTCATGCTGTTGTACCTCCTGGTTTCAATGAGACTATTTAAATAAAGGTTATCAACAATGACATTAAAGCCTCAGCAGCAAGTTTGTTTATTAAAAATGTGTAGTGTAATGTGTTAATGTCTTTCTCTGATGTCATGTCCTCTGTGTCCCCGTGCAGTGTGCTGCTGTTCCCCCCTCTACCCAGCAGACTGCGATACCTGATCCACACGACCATAGAGGACTGGCCAGAATTCACCACCTTCTCAGTCGGGGAGAGCTGGTGCCGTAGGGTGGTCGTCTGCCATTCTGAGCTCAGGTACTGAACGTAGACTTGAAGTAGATACTGAAAGTAGATCATATGCACATTGTTGGCCAAACTTAAATCTATCTTTGAAACTTTTGGTCTTATGCATCTAAAAAACTACTAGAAACCGATGTGATGGCAATTCGAGTTTTCAAATAAACAGCTCAGGCTAACACTAACACAGTCTTTCTGTGAAGTTTATTCAAATCCTCTGCAGAAGGATTCACAGCAACACACATATGCTGTATACATGTATGCTCGAATGAGTGAGGTGAGCTGAGTGAGCGTGTTATTTATCCAGGATTAGGGTCAATCATATCGTCCCACAGAGACGCGTTGTCCCTGAAGTCTGGATAACACAGAGAACAGAGATATTTCGACTGTGACTCTTACACAGATCACATCACACATGAGTCTCCCCGAGTCCAGGGTACATGCAATATGTTTGGAATTCCCATTACACTGACTTGTTGTGATCAGGTGGGAGTTCATACATGTAATTGTGACATGTTAAGAGTTAAATATTCACCTTTTGTGCAGTATTTTAAAAAGGTGTATGTGATGCGATTGAAACGCAGACTAACAGCTAAGACTGACAGTTAAAGTTAAATTTAAAGAAGGAAAAGTGTTCATTCAAGGTAGGTTTTAATACCAACTTTACAGCTTGTACCTAGATAATCTCTATAACGTATCTTTTACAAGATTTTAGTATTAGAAGAATTCTGCTCTCCGTTTGTAGTCAGAGTAGTATTGACTAATCATGTTTGAGCGGGCGTTGGTTGCATGTAGGTAAACAGTCCATGTGGAGAGCAAAACATTTTTTATCACTCTCAGAACCCTACAGATTAGCTTTAAAAAAACTTATCTGCATTCAAATCATCATCAGACGATAGACGATGGGTAACTAAACTATCGACAGATTTGATGTGCAATAACAATCTTGGCTCCAACAGTCAACATTCATGGCTGTGAATAAGAATTACTTTATTATCATCTTTACACTCTTTATAACACACGCACAAGAGAAACCTATACATGCAGTTGATGTGTAAAGATGTCAGAAGACTGATTGGTAGCCACAGCGCCACGGTTAGGAGTTATGTGCCTTGCTCAATGGCACCTCGGTAGTGCGCGCATACTGCCATATTACTCAGTATGTGATCTTTTCCAGTGATCTAATAATAATACTTTCCCCCCACATTGCTGCTGTTTGTTTTCCTAAATCCCTGATTCTTTTAAATAATGTTGAACATATTAAATGGGTGTTCCTATGTAAAGACATCTGTATTTTTCTGTAGGGGTGACGTAGAGGAAGACGGTGAATTGGAGAGCAACAACAGCTTGTGTGAAGAGCTCCTAAGAAGTAGAAGTAGGGAAGAGGTGGAGGGCAATGCCAAGCCTAAATCTTTGATCCCATCGCGAAACCGAGGACCCAAGAGGCCTGACAAACCCCTTTACCTGCCACGAGCTGCCCGGGAGAGACTGTCCTTACAAAACTCAAAAGGACCCTCGGCAGACCAAGTGTCATCCGGTCCAGCCTCAAGTAACTGTAGCTGCATCAGCAGTTCATCTGACTCGTGTTCCTGTCCTGAAACTACGGAGAACTCTAAGTCCTTATCCACATCCAGACAGGAAACTCTCCCCAGTGTAGCGGACGGTATCCTCAGCCATGTTGCTGACAGTTCAGCACTTTGTCCTCAGGTGCTGATGCTTCAGGAAGCTGAGCCTGTAGTCTGGGACGAGACTGTGTCCTGCTTTGCTAACATAACTCTGGAGGATGAGGAGAAGGACAAGGAAGACCTTGCTAGTGTGCCATGCAGTGATGTAACTGAAGAGGTAAGCCTACACACTTATTTTTATGTATTTTTTAGTCAATATAATTACTATAGTTATTATAATATATATTTTCCATTGTTCATTACTTATGTATTGAACATAAGTATTTTGGATTAACATTCATATTACATTAACCTCTTTCATGTTGAGGCCACATTAGCACCATAAAATATAACCAGTTATTTTGTGTTTGTCTCATCAGATCAAGGCACATCTGAAAGAGACAATGGCTGTTTCTATTGAGCATGTTCACAATGACTACTCCATATATATGAACATGTGTATCACTATCGACCCGGATGACTTTCGCCACGTGATCGAGATCTATGACTTCCCAGCTATATTCAGAACAGAGGACCTCCTGGATGCTTTCACAGAGTACAGGTGCAAGCAGGGGGCTTAGATCCTAAACTTCTCTACACATCTGTCAGTTTGTCTGCATGGCTTTAAGTTTATTCATTTTTTAGATTTAAAGTTTTTCTGTATTTACTCTACACCAAAAACTTTATATTTGAGAAATCGTCCTGTATGTCCCATCTCGTAAATTGAGAAGATCTCAAACAATTAATCTAGCTACCAAATTCATTAAGTGCTTTCCTGTCTGCTTCAGTGATGGCGGAATGAAAATCAAGTGGATAGACAACACACATGCCCTGGGGGTTTTCTCCAGTGAGCCGGCAGGTGGGAGTCCTCGCTGTACAATGAATGTAGTGGATTGAGGTTAAAAGGTGAATGAAAATGACTAAAAATGTGTGTATATACATTGTGTCATATGCAGCACTCCATGCCCTCTCCATCTGCCATCCGATGCTGAAGACAAGATCCCTAGCTGAAGGGAGTAAAAAGGCCAAAGCCAAAGCCATGAGATGGGCAGGTAAGATAACTTTCATTTGAACCCTGTAGCTACTTGAAATAAATTTGCCTATTGTGGTTCGGGAGATCATACCATAATTTAGTTGACAACTTCTGTGGTACTTTTGTTACGCCCCACCCTTTGGTGGCAACATGGGGCGAACAACACCCTAACACTGACCCAAACTCAACACAAATAAACACCTTTTAAAACAACCAAATCAAGGGAATTTATTAACATAACTAGACGATAAATTAAGAACACCAAAAACACAAGAACATAACACAAAAATGCCCCAGCTGAGCGGCAGCAAGGCCAGCAGTCCCATATCAAGAAGGGCCCCTCCTGACACTTGCACAGCAACTTTTAAAGCCCGCCTTCCAAGGCCAGGTGGACCTTATTTGGTAATTAGCTGGAGCACTCCCAGAGCAGAACTGAAGGACAGAAAACATGGACACAGCACAGGGAAACGCATACAGCTGTAACACTTTGTATTCAGAAAGGGAATTTGATTTAACACTGGATGATGTGGATCAGATGGTTGTTTGTGCTGTGTTCCAGAGTTCCTCCAGCCAGTGAAGGAGCGTCCCAGGACAGACTGTGCTGTAGCCCAGCGGATGGTGACCAGAGCCTTGGGGCTGCAGGGACGAGGGAGAGTGCAGCGATTTTGAAGGGAATTGCTAACTCTGTTGGCTAATGCAGGTGATGTGTTTTTGGCATTTGAAGTCCACAAAGTAACCTTTATTTGTGACCTGAAGGTTGGCCGTTGTTCCTTTGTGACTATGACTTTCTTGTTGCTTTTAGTTTTTGGGGGAGCTGCCTTTTATCTAATCACATGCAAGGATTCTTGTCACATTTAGTAACACTGTGGTTATGTCTTTGAGTCCAACTATAACTGCCCTTGTGATTTGATTGCTAGAGATCAGAACACCAAACCTGGGATAGCACATGTAAAATATTTAACTGTAGAATATACAGTACTTTTGTCATGTTACAGCTTTGTGTCTCTCTTTCATCCTGGGTTCCTTTCATACCAACATTTCCATACACTGAAACATTATATAAATTGGGATGTGCTTTGACCATTTTTATTTAAAAAATGTAATGCTCTTCCACATTCATCCATGCATACAAAACAGTCAAGTAGCAAGCAAGCAAATACCCCTTTGCATAACCCTTGAATTTTCATATACATATACTACTTACTTACATATTTGTGGCTTTTACAGTACATCCATATCATATCATAGTCCCTGACAGCAATAATGTAACAAAAATCACCAAACTCACGGAGAAAGAAGCTTGAGGGCATGCATGGATCATGAAGATGAAAATGTGTCTACTGTAGCAACCAAGAAAACAAATCAATAAATAAAACATTTTTCTTAAAGTGAGCTCAAGTATATGGAACATGAAATCCCGGAAGGGAAAAAAAGAAAGCAAATTTCCTGTCAGTTTAATTCTGACAATTTATGTTCTTAACAGCTTTTCTAAGAAACTAATCCAAGCAACTGTTGTCATAGATGAATCTTCTGTATTCGGCACTGGAGGGGTCGTGGCAGATGATGTTAGGGTGACCAGACGTCCCGAAAAATTCAGGACCGTCCCGAATTACGAGAAGTTGTCCCGACTCCTGTCCGGTTTGTCACGAAAATTAGACTGATTCTAGCCTAATTAATCATTAAATACTGATCGTTGTGTTGTTCTCTTGCTCCAGCTGGAGTTACAGATTATCTGTACATTGTGTCAACAGCGTTATTATGTTCTAGCCACAAAGTAACACTCATGCTCTTTTGCTCTTTTTGTTTTCTTGTGGTTAGTGGAAGTTACAGTTGCGAGGACTGGGAAAGTGTAGCTTCAGGCAACCACGGCGGAGAGATCTTCAATTCAATTTTATTTATATAGCGCAAATCACAACAACAGTTATCTCATGGCGCTCATAAAAGAGCCGGTCTAGACAGTACTCTGTGATATTATTTATAGAAACACAACATGCACGTTGCGCAGACAGATGTGACAGACACCGCACTGATGAATGAATAAAATAAAAATCGAAATCAGGTAAAAGATCATGATTTACCCACTGTTGCATATCCACAGTTGTGTTTTTCCTAATGACAGGCAGGTGACTTCATGAACAAAAATAAGCAATTTTAGCGTTGTTGTTTTGATGTTCACGTGTGTTAATGTTCATTGACACTGAATGTACCAGTAGCCACGTCCCTCGTCCCGAATTTCATCCATTCTCCTCTGGTCACCCTAGATGATTTAAAAATAAATCCAACATTTGGTAGCCTATTTTACAGTTTTGGTTACAAGTTGTAATCCTTTGTAGAAAGTTAAAGAAAAAAAGACACACTATCTACAGTAATTATAATAATGTACTGCATTTGTTTTCCGTTACTAGTTAAATCCTTTAACTATCCAATACTGTGGAAGCAAATGTGATTTAAACACCCCCCTGTTCAATTCACCTGTTTTGTGGGAAGAACATACAGTTCGAGATTCAGTTGTAGCACCACATTTAGCAGTCGACTATTTTCATCCATTCAATGCAAACCCAACATCATCTAATGCCTTTTGGTATGAGGCTTTTCCCAAAGTCTTTGGTCAAACTTTGGCTTACAAGACAACTGTTGGCACATTTGATTGAATAAGTTATTTGGCTGCAACCCTCCCTGACATCTTTACCAATAAGCACCAGGTTAAAACCTTCATTTCACTGACAACAAAGGCACTAAGACACGATAAGCGATAAGAACCCACACATAGCTGAATGTGGTTAATCGATTAAGTAAGCAAGCATTTTCCTATTGAATCATTGTCCATTGTACCAGTTGAGCCCTGAGCCCAACAACAATCCAGTACTGCTCCAAGGAAGCAAAACAGTACAGCACCTCTAGTGGTTGTCAAACATTAATAAACACTTCCCTAATGTCAGAGTGTCCGCGTTGTCCGTCTTCGGTCTACCTGTGTGAAAGCTGGTTGGTCAGCAATCCTGGGAACGTGTCCTCTGTTTCTGAACTCCGTGAGCCACCTGTGAAGTCAGACAGGGAAAGGATGACGAAGACAAAAGCAAATCTATGTAACATGATACCAATCAAATTCTGAAGCCCCTGGTGAAACACTGCTAACTTTAAGAGGGCGCCACTCTTTTTGATCTGATAAAATGGCACCATTTGGACAATAACTCCCCCCCCCCCGACGTGATGAGCTGACCAGTGATGTCCCAACTAGGAAACAGTAAAGTGGACTGTTCTCAAAATCAAGCAAATGTTTGTCTAAAAAAGTCCACTAACTTTTGGCAAAGGTTTTATTCTGTACCATGTTGTGATATGACACCGTTTTTAAAATATTATCTTAACTTTCTGTTTTCTACAGAAAGATCCAGCAGAGCTCTGCCTCCGTTCACTGGCCCTCTGTAGAAGCTCCACAGTGGCCACAAACAGCTAGCTGATTATTAAGAGCACGACTACCTTCCAAGACAGTTTGCCTGCTTCTCTGATTGGTGCAGCAGGTTTGCATGGTGAAGGAGGAGACTCTTCAGAGTTGACTGCCACACATCAGCAACATCCACCCCTGCTGAAATGTCCTTGAGCAAGACAGTGAATCACCACCAGCCTCAAAGTGTCTGTTCTGTTGCTGAACCTCACCCTGTTGGACATTATTGTTGAAAGTCCGATGCAAGCGGTGATTTAAAATAGAAAAGGCACTGGGGGGAAAAAAGCTCTTTGCTTGTTCTGATTTGATTGCATGTTGCCTTGAAAGTGCGTTTCAAGGGTGTTAAAATTCCAGGCAAGGCGTTTCTTTCCTCCTTGCTCAGGTGTTGCAGGATTGATTGCATCACTCTGTGTAAGTAGTCATTCTTTTTAACGTTGAAATCCGTCAGATTATTTCTCAGGATTTGGTCAAAATTATTACCTTGTGCGCTGTAGTCACAGGTAGATTTATAATATGGAATGCACAATTCCAGCTGACAAATATAATGTAGATCCATTAACAGAATCTGACCTGTTAAAATGATAACACTAAGTATGGTTTTCAGGTGCCAGCGTTCCAGTTAAGAGACACAGTTGTAAAGGAAAAAACTTACTTGACAAGATTTTGTAATTTTTTAGTTCATTTAAAAAGTATTATAAGCGAGTTATAATATGTTCAGTTTTTGATATTTATTTGTTTCCTCTAGATAACAAAATCTACCTTAGGATTGTTAACGCAGAGGCAGTGTTCAATTTCTTTCTCATTCCACATGAAAGAAAACTGAGTTTGTGTTTCAGAGACTTGTTATATGCTGGGCTCTTTACCTGTTACTGAAAAGTCAGTTTTGTATCATTTTGTCATTGATTTAACATGAATCTTACCTGGTGTATGAGTTTTGTATTCAGTAAAAGATGCTGAGAGTATTTTATTGTCAAATTGAAATGGGACGTTAACCTGAAATGATCTTTTGTGCCTGAGGGAAAAGAAGACTTGATGGTAGCATTAAATGCTGCACAATCCCATGGAAATATGAAAACTGTACATGGTAATTAAGTTGATTCATTTTGTTAAAGATGTTTCAATGTTTTATGTAAATGTTATATAAACATACAGTGCTGCCAAGATGTGGACAGTAGATAGTAACAGTGTTAAATGTTAATTATCTTAACCATGTTAAATTTCTGACTCTAACCTTAAATATCTGGTGAAAAGTATAAAACACATTTATTATTTGATTGCAAATTCTGTGGAATCAAATAAGTTCAAACCCCCATGACTAGAGTGTGAAAGATGCCTTCATTTCATTTTAAGGTGAATTCTCCTTTCACGAAAAGTACAAATAGGCTTTAACACAGCCTCATTCTCCACTGCACTTGATGCCATAAACGTTGTTAATATTATTTTATCCATAATACAGAAGAGATTATGATCCTTTTAAGGTTTTGGTCTCACCTATATGACAGCTGTATGTCCATATCCGATGTCCATCATACCGGGAGCGGCACTTCATAATGTTGTTGGTGTAATCTGATTCTGCAACCTCATAGTTGGGGTTTATCACGACCTGGGAGTGCAAAAACAGTGTTTGTTAATGGTCTGAAAACAATGTTCCCTTCCATTTATACATATACAAATCATTTTCTTAAGTGCTACTAATGGACCAACTAATTCAGATTTAGTTACTGGCAGTAGAGATGGAATGCCAAACACAAGCAGACGCAGAGGAAAGTCTTGATGATGACATCTGCTGCTGGAAAGATGAGATCTTTCCAGCAGCAGATGTGCTGTATCTACTATGGCTAGACTGGCAGGCCAAATGTTTACCTGAAGGATGTAGTCACCAGGCTTCACGTCTGTGATGTCAATCCACTGACAGTCAATGTCATGCCTGTAGGTGTCCCAGCAGCCAACTGTGATGCCCTGTGCGCCGAAGTTTGCACATTCATACCTCTTCTGAATACCTGTCAGCATTCAGAGCAGTGTAAGTTTTGGTATTATGCCATTCAGACCTGGCTTTATTAATATATTTTCATCAAACATAGTTTCTTCATGTCACATGTCAGTTTTTCATGTTTTTACTGTATTGTTTAAAAAATCTTAATAGAGGAAATGACATTAAACCAGAACTCAGTAGCATAATTCTCCACAAAGCCACAGTATTCAATAAAAATGAAAAGGGAAGGAAGAAAGCTGTACCCTCGTCACAATGAGTGTCCTCCAGACAGAAGCTGGCTTTGTGGCCCTCTGCCACTTTAGTGCCGTTTAAACTCATCAAGTCATAGTGTGTAAAAACCTCCATACTGTGGTAATGTCTGGATTGGGCAAGAAAATACACAATGTTAAAACATCCTCTATACACAGTATATCTATCAATTTATAGTGTATATAGGCTACACACTCACCTAAAGGATTATTAGGAACACCATACTAATACTGTGTTTGACCCCCTTTCGCCTTCAGAACTGCCTTAATTCTACGTGGCATTGATTCAACAAGGTGCTGAAAGCATTCTTTAGAAATGTTGGCCCATATTGATACAATAGCATCTTGCAGTTGGTGGAGATCTGTGGGATGCACATCCAGGGCACGAAGCTCCCGTTCCACCACATCCCAAAGATGCTCTATTGGGTTGAGATCTGGTGACTGTGGGGGCCATTTTAGTACAGTGAACTCAGTGTTATGTTCAAGAAACCAATTTGAAATGATTCGAGCTTTGTGACATGGTGCATTATCCTGCTGGAAGTAGCCATCAGAGGATGGGTACATGGTGGCCATAAAGGGATGGACATGGTCAGAAACAGTGCTCAGGTAGGCCGTGGCATTTAAACGATGCCCAATTGGCACTAAGGGGCCTAAAGTGTGCCAAGAAAACATCCCCCACACCATTACACCACCACCACCGGCCTGCACAGTGGTAACAAGGCATGATGGATCCATGTTCTCATTCTGTTTAAGCCAAATTCTGACTCTACCATCTGAATGTCTCAACAGAAATCGAGACTCATCAGACCAGGCAACATTTTTCCAGTCTTCTACTGTCCAATTTTGGTGCGCTCTTGCAAATTGTATCCTCTTTTTCCTATTTGTAGTGGAGATGAGTGGTACCCGGTGGGGTCTTCTGCTGTTGTAGCCCATCCGCCTCAAGGTTGTGCGTGTTGTGGCTTCACAAATGCTTTGCTGCATACCTCGGTTGTAACGAGTGGTTATTTCAGTCAAAGTTGCTCTTCTATCAGCTTGAATCAGTCGGCCCATTCTCCTCTGACCTCTAGCATCAACAAGGCATTTTCACCCACAGGACTGCCGCATACTGGATGTTTTTCCCTTTTCACACCATTCTTTGTAAACCCTAGAAATGGTTGTACGTGAAAATCCCAGTAACTGAGCAGATTGTGAAATACTCAGACCGGCCCGTCTGGCACCAACAACCATGCCACGCTCAAAATTGCTTAAATCACCTTTCTTTCCCATTCTGACATTCAGTTTGGAGTTCAGGAGATTGTCTTGACCAGGACCACACCCCTAAATGCATTGAAGCAACTGCCATGTGATTGGTTGATTAGATAATTGCATTAATGAGAAATTGAACAGGTGTTCCTAATAATCCTTTGGGTGAGTGTATATATCTTTCTCTCTTTCACCTGCCAGTCCGCATCACACTTTTTTATTTTACTTTTTTATCAATTGATGGTTTTATAATGCCTAGTTTAAGGGGGTGCTGCAACCCCGTTAGCACCCCTACTTGTGTCCATGCCTATGCACATTGTGAAATAACTTAATTTTAAAAGTGGTTAATTATTCAGTTCTTGCATGTCACTCGGGGCCCTTTGGCCAAGCAAGAATAAAGGGAAATGACCTCAGTGGCATTAGTGGGATTTAGGGATTTTCAGGACAGTTAGAAACTAATTATTTGCTGTGTTTAAATGTTATATAAAAAATAAAAAGTTTTAATCCCATATGACTGTATTCACTTTCACAAAGACATTATACAATCCATTGTAATTTCCTCTTATTTTTTCCAAATGATTAATTAAACTTTGACATTTAGCATGAGAATTAACAACAGTTACCCCTGTGTAATCATTTGAGAGGTTTCATACGGTCATTACTGTAAAAGCAGCAGCAAAGTACACACTGGAGGTCTTGTTACGGTCTCACCTGTGACACTCATGCCAAATCCAGGAGTGATGTGCCGCCCGCGGCCTGAAGTCTCCCTGGCCATTGTTGTGTATCTGGGAGGAGAAGCGGAGAAGGCGGCGGTAAGAGCTGGAGTCGGCTTTTTCAGCAGTACTGGACAGACAGTGCTCCTCGTGGGCACACTGCAGCGCGTACATGGGTCTGTCCTCCAGGTAGGTGGTCTGCTCCACAACCTGGGCATTAAGAACCAGGTCTGGGGCCGCTGGGAGGGAGAGCACAACAAGGGATCTGGTAGTTAGGAAATAAGCTGTATAGTATGAAGTTAGTCTTTTTTTCTAGTTCAAAGGCATTCCTCACAGCAGTAATTTTGCTAATAACATTAACAACTCAAGTGTCCCAGTAAGCCATGACAGCATGACCAACACAAATAACACCAGGACCCCAAAATTGAAGCAGCTAATGGAATTAAAGCATCATCATTCATTTTATCATTTACACATCACTCTGAATGTATATATAATTTGTATTCTACAGTTTCTTACTCTGAGTACAAGAGACCCCGGCAGCGAAGCGTCCACCTCCTTTCGGACAGTCAGTGTGTTTCCCGTGATGTAGACACTGATCCAGAGTTAGCTCAGTTCCTGAACATCTCACACCACTCATCACGACCGCATCAGCTGAGGAATCTCCTTGCCAGTACCATGTTTCCTGATGAAAGAGAAGCACAGAAAATGCTAAAATAACTGAAAATAAACTGTACTGTATTTGTTGATCGAAACTACTCACTTTTGGGGCAAGTACACTTCACAAGTCTTTCAAAACAAATTGCAAGTACATTATTTTCCTCCTTGCCAGACTTTATAAAGGAAAACTGATACCATTATCATGTCTGCCCGGTAAATGTAGCACCGACAGCTGATTAGCTTAGCTTAATATAATGACTAGAAACAGCCTGGCTTTATTCAATGGTAACACATTCTACCAACCAAAACGTCTAAAGCATGACAATTAAATATCTTGTTTGTTGAATCTGTACAAAAACTGAAATGTAACCTAGCCTGTAGTGTAGTACCCTGATAAACGAGACAGAACTTTGTTTCCTTCTGACAACCAGGCAGGCTGTCTCCTCATTTCCAGTCTTTTTGTTATGCTATGCTAACTGGCTGTAGCTTCATATTTATTGTATAGATATGAGAGTAATTTCAATCTTTTGACTAACTCTCTTCCAGTTAAGTGTTTTCCAAAATGTCAAACTATTCCTTTAAATCTAATTTAATTTAATTTGCAGATCTTATCCCATGTATCCCACAAGGCAAATCTAATCAAAGAGTCTTTCACACATCACACACACAACAAGGGGGGGCTCTGTTGTCCTCACAGTCCTGACTCAGCCTACAGCATTACAGCATTTTGCAGACCACAGGGACACGACCTGTAAAAACTCATACCCTCATAGTTTCCACCATCTTCAAAGGAAGTGGAGGATTTAGAGAAAGAAATTGAGCTGAGGGATATGGATGTGGGAGTACTTGCTGGTTGGTTGAGATAGGCAGACATACAGAAGTATACTTTAAGCTCTGTGTCATTTGTTCCATCTGGTGGTGGGGTTTGCCTGCAGAAGTATTTAAAGGTCAGACAGGAAAGAGTCTCTAGGGGGGGTGATTCCCTGCTCTGCTATGATAACAAAGAGCAGACATTTAGTATTCCTAAACCTGTGCTTAACATGAGAACTTATGTAATGGCAACTTACGGTATGTGTTATTGTGATACTGTGACCAAATTGTTTGACTTTTTTTTATTAACGTGAAATAGCTACTGGTTAAGAAAAACACAATGTTGAACTGTCCTTGACTGAGGACATGTTTACGTGCTGCTCCATTAGAAGTGCATTGCATATAATTTGTCCCAAACACACTTTAGAGAGATAAACAGCCTCCAACAGATCCAGTCCAAGTTCCTCTCATAAAACCCTCTGTTGTTCTCAAAACACGTCCCCCATGATTCACAAATACTTTCCAGGCTTATATCATCTTAAACCACAAATTGCACACTGGCTTCAGTGTTAAAATAGAAATATGTAAAGAATACGAGGGGGGACTTTACCAACCTCTCACCTCATGACATTAAGGGAGCACTAGGGTC